AACATTTTCTGTAATAAACAGGTTTTTTGTTAAAATTGATATGGTAAACAATGACTTCAGACCCAATATTATTACAAATTCTTGCACATTTCGATTTGTGATCTCTTGGGTTTTAGAAGAAATATGACCATCGTTTTGGGCTTAAAATGCCTAGAAACATTATTTCACAGTTTAATAGAGTCAGAATAGTAATACTGTCTAAACAGGGCTACCGGCAAGTTGCAATAGCTGAAATTGTAGGAGTTAAGCAAAGCGATGTTTCGCGAATATTAAAAAAGATCAGGGAGGCAAACGAGGTTATACAGACCGGCCTGGAAGAGGTCGAAAGAGAGTTACTACTGCTGTGCAAGACCGTCAAATATCCCTAATTGCACGATGCAATCCCCTGTTTTCTAGTACTGCTATTAAAAATGAGTTAGCTCGCCTTGAAGGAGTAAATATTTCAAGAAAGACCATAGCAAGAAGACTCCATGACAGAGGATTACATTTAAGGAGGCCTCTACGTGTTCCGAAGCTTAATTTACAGCACAAAATTACGCGACTACAATGGGCTGAGGAGATGAGAGCAAATGGACCTAATTGGAATTTCGTCATGTTTAGTGATGAAACAAGAATAGGCCTAGTGTCAGACTCGCGACGAATTTTGGTCTGGAGGGCAATTTTTGGAATTGATCGTTTACATGCGAACGCGCAACTTTGCGAGTGTTAGAAAACGAATACGTTTTAAAAATTCAAATTTTCAACCATCTTCGCATCTTAATTTGCGATCGTCTTGAGCGTACGCAAAATTACGAGCCGGAGCTGTTGCAACGTCGACAAATCACAGTGAAAAACTAAATTCTCTCCAGTTTAACCGTATATTTTACTGTTTGTTTAATTTTCATTACTTAATGTCGATAATCGAGGTTTGTTGTATTGTTGGTCAAGTGGGTTAATAATGAAAAAAACAACGTGGAAGTAACACTCCCGGGAACCTATGTATTCGGAAAAATCTACAATGATAATACGTAATTATGCAATAAATACCCGTATTGCAAAACCATACTGTTCTCTAATTCTGTTGAGTTTTTCAAAATTATTTGGAAATTCAACCCATTGATGGAATATCTCTGGATGGTTTACAGCGTTGGTAACTTCATCAATTGAGAAACCGAGGCTTGGCACATATCGATGTATTTATTTAAAGCAACATCCGGCTGGTAACAATCACTTCCGTAAAATTTCAAAGCATCTAAAATCTGAAAGTTACCCGGCTTTGCACATCCAAATCAGTCTCTCTTCTTTGTGGTCGCATGTACGGCTAAATTAAAAAACGGCACAAATTTTTGGATAACCGAAATATTTTAATAAATTGCCTTTCACTCAGTTCTATGAACGCATTCCCCGGATTGTGCAAAACATTACGGCGGTATTGCAGTTCTGCATTTTCTAGGTTTCGAATGGCCAAAAGCTTCATTAAGTCATCTATTACTATTATTCTTACACCTAAACCCAACTACAAACTTGGAACTATCAAATATAATATGTGCACTTAAAAAACATATCCTTACAATGCTGTCGATCCACTCGCAACACAACGCAGGGAAATTTGCTAATACGCAAAAATGCGAACACTTAAAAATTGAATGCAACTCAACCCCGTGTCCTGTTTCAAGGGGGAAGCATTATGGTATGGGCAGGTATATTGCACGGGGCTCGAACTTCTCTTGTTTTTATTGATGGCACAATGATAGGTACTTCATATCTTACCTTTATCTTAGTTTTAGAGCCTATTGTGCGTCCATTTCGAGGGGCAGTGGAGGATCGCGAATTTTGTGAGGAAGAGAGTATAAGAAAACTGTGGTGGTCACCTATGTCTCCAGATATGAATTTGATCGAGCATGCTTGGAACATGCTAAAACGCCATATTGCCAAAAGGAATGATCCCCCCCGTACCTTAAATGAATTGAAAATTGCTGCGCGCGAAATATGAGAAGCCATTCCTCAACATATTCTGGACAACTTAATTGAGAGAATGCCACGTTGTCTCACAGATTGCATTGAGGCTCGAGGAGACAATACAGACTATTAGTTGTGAAAAATAATTAAAATTGTTTTCAATATTTTCTGTTTAAAATGAAATTTGTTTTTGTTGATTTTCACTCATTATGAAATAAAATTATAATAACAGCCTAGTTGCACTTAGATTTTTAATTTTATATTAGTTAGTCGTGTAGTACGCCAATATGTTCAAAAATATAAAAAGAATCATATTAGGTCCAAAAATAAAAATAAAAATATCGTTATATGCAATAAGTTTGGCCATGTATCTATACTACTACATACACTATGTACCGGTTGTCCCACTAAGAATAGCTCCCGGCTGTATCTCGGAAAGTATTAGCCGTAGGGCTTACGGAAAAAAATATTTATAACTAAAGGGGCTAGGAGAAATTGCTGGAAATTATTTTCAAGTTTGTAAAATGGCCGCTAGGTGGCGCAACTGCTATTGATAATAAGAAAATAGACTTTTACAAAATTCAGCCTAGATAATGGGTACTATAAATAATAGCTTCATAATCTTCAGTAAATTTTGGATTTTTTTTATTCGAACCATTTTCCCCTATCTGCTAAAATAAAGTGGTGGGGGAAGGTTAAATCTATCTTTATTTAAATGTTAATAGGTAACTGCGGACTGGATGATCAGAATCCAACAAACGAGGGCTCGTTTAAAAGAGCGTTTCTTACTCTATATTATACCATAAACAGCTAATATCTTCGGTTTGAAAGAAGATATCAAGATGCGGTTTTCGCTGACTTTTTAAGCTTTCACTACTCTTTAGCAGTTAAAATAACTTAATATAACTTTTAATTAACTTACTCTAGCAGCTAAAATAACACATAATATCCTATTTAATTTTTTTGAAAAAACGCGCTATGTTTGTTAAATTGTAAGAAAGCGCCCCCTAGCGTCTACGTTCAAAACCTTATTATTATTGTTTATATGGTAAAGTGTAGATTAAGAAACGCTCTTTTAAACGAGCTCTATATATATAGATATAGAAGAGGTTTGAACTGAATCAAGGATTGTAGAATTCAAATCTCTCAGATACCGTTGCGTGTTTTACCTTTTGCGATACGCTTTTTAAGCATAGGATTATCTACTAACGACATCAGCACTGGGGGGAGAAGTACGATTTATAAGCGTTTGTCGAAAATCCTAATACTTAGATTGCTGAAGATGTTTTATTATTAAGACGTTTGTTATTTTGGTCTTTGTCTTAAGGCGATAAGGAGGAGGACAAAGTAAAGAGGAGGGCATCTCCTCAAAAATACAGGAAGTCCTAGATGCAATTCACGGCTGGTGCACACTGGAACAATTAAGTGTTAACCCACAGAAAACCGTGATCATACCATTCACCAGAAGAAGGAAAACAGACAAACTGAAACCGCCCATTCTTCTTGGTGAGACAATTCCGTTTGCGGAGGAAGTTAAGTATCTAGGATTAAACCTGGACAAAAAACTTAGCTGGACCTCTCATCTGGAAAAAACATCAAAAAAGGTTTGCTATGCTCTATGGGCATGCCGCCGAATTTGTGGTAGAAACTGGGGATTAAACCCCAAAAATATGTACTGGCTATACGTGACGGCCATCAGACCTATTATCACGTATGGTGCAGTTGCCTGGTGGTAGAAAGCCTACCAAACAACGGCAAAGAATAAATTGTCGAAACTACAACGACAAGGATGCTTAGCGGTGACTGGTGCCTTCCATTCCACGCCGTCAAAAGCTATGGAAACCCTACTCGACCTACCTCCTCTTCAAATTCTTTTGGAAAGAGAGGCGAGATGGGCTACATATAGGTTTCTAAATATAGCACGAGGAAGCCAAGGAACAATTATGTTCATACAAAACCGGCTAGTAGAAGAACTACAGTCGGATGAGATTCTGGGAATGATCTCGGATATTACACCACCAGTCCAACTCTTGACGCGCACCTACAACGTCCTGTTTCCGAATAGGGACGAGTGGGATAAGCCGGGAAACGGTTTACTACATGCGGAAATGTGTTGGTACACGGACGGATCCAAAAACGAAAAAGGATCTGGAGCAGGAATTTACTGCAGCAGTCCAAAGACTGAGATCTACTACAGTCTTGGAAAACACACCACGATCTTCCAAGCTGAGCTATATGCTATTGAAACCTGTGTGCAACTGCTGGTAGAACAGCAATACACCGGGAAAACAATATGCATATTTTCGGATAGTCAAGCCGCGCTGAAAGCACTTGAGGCAACGAAAAGCACGTCTATGCGATTCTTCAATGTAAGAAACTACTCAATATACTGGGAGATAGGAACAAAGTGTCGCTAATATGGATACCGGGACATGTCGGCCTAGAGGGAAATGAACCTGCTGATTCCCTCGCCAAAATTGGTGCAGGCTCGCCATTCGTGGGCCCAGAACCGACACTTAGCGTTCCTAAAAATCTCGCAAGAGACAGGCTCTGTGAATGGGTTAGGAGTGCGACGTTCCGGGACTGGAATAACAGTCCCGGAATGGAACATGCCAAGAAAATCCTAGCAGGGCCATCCATACATAGAACAGGAGAACTCCTAAAGGCCGGTAGGAATGGAACGCGTGTGCTCACTGCAGTGTACACGGGCCACTGCCGGCTGAGATCTCACCTACAGAGGACGGGACTGGTGGAAGACGCCGAATGCCGACCCTGTATGGAAGATGACGAAACAATGAAGCACGTTATGTGTACCTGCCCCGCTGGGAGCAGGACCAGGTTTGAGATGTTTGGCAAACCCATGCTAGACCTATCAGACCTAGGAGACATATCGCCCTCAGACATAACGGCCTATATTAGGAGGCTGAGTCTTGAGGGTGAACTTTGACGCTCTTGTAAATTAGAGCGTGTAGAAACTGAGCCACAATAGGCCCTCGCGGCCTCAGTGGAGGGTCCCCCCCATGGGACCCACTCTTAGTCAATACAATAAGGAGATAAAATGTAAAGAGATACAACTAAAAAACTGCTTTATTAGTTATTAATAAGTACAAATTTGTACGTTACATATCCGAAAACTAGCCAAAACAAATGCATGTTTCACTTAAAACATTTTCTTCGTACAAAAATATTAATCTCCATAAAATCATATTAAAAATAAAAAAATGTAATGTCATTGTAAAGTAAATTTTTCAATAAATAACATAAAACTACAAAAGCTACTTATACATCTTAGGAACATCTATAGTCTGTCCAGCGAAAGAATATATAATTTCGACAGACCACATATAAAACATGAGGGAGGTAACAATTTACTTATGTATATAAATAACAGTCCACGTGATATATTTTTTTGCTGGACAGGCTATAAAATAAATACTGTTGGTATAGTGCTTACAACAAAACAATTTACTCAATTTGTAAATTTTACAAAATAGTTAAAATCTATCTAAAGTACTTTTTTAATATTGTATATAGCACCAATCAATTTAAAATAGCAAATTACATATTTCAGGTCACTTGAAAGGACGTGAGTAATGTCGGAGCGTATAGCGATTCAATGTCAAACTTCAAACCTGTGTTTACTCTAATAATTAGTATCATACTTTTTAACCGCAATATCATAGAAAACATTTCATTTTAGTTTGATTTCAGAGTTGTATGCCACAAATAACTTAGTACTTTATTTTAAGTTTTATATAGATACAATTAAAAATGAATGCGACAAAAAAAATACAGCAATGTAACCATATTGTTTGATTTTGAAACATGTATCTTCCAATTGAATAAAAAATGGTGTCACCGTTAGCTGGGCAATCAAGATCGCTCTGTCATTTTAAATGTAATATTATATAAAGAATGTCATCGATCGTGAATTATTAGCCAACTTCATACAGTTTTATTCAATCATATTGTAACATATTCTCCATTTACTACACACCAACTAATTAGTAGTATGCGCCTGCAGTCTGAAACCACACTAAAACTGTCAAAACATTGAAAGTAATTTTTCAAGAAATTATAATAACTATTTTTGATTGGAAGTAATTTTGCTTACATGGTGTCATATAATTAAAAATTATATTTCGTATCCTCGTCCAAATAGATATACACCCGTAGTATCATTATCATACTTTATCGAGCACATTTTATTCACAATTACGTAAAGAATGCATTTTTTGTTAGCCATAAGCCTTAGTCATCCGTACCCGACCGTCAGCCTTCTCATAACATTATTGTGCTTTGTCGAGTAAACAAAATAGTTAGAAATTAAAATAAAAATGCCGAAATTATAAGGAAAATATAAATAAGGAAACGTACCTTAAGTGCTAGTGGTAACGAAAGTGAAAGGCTGAAAAGGGAAAGAAGACATCTCTTAAGAAAATTGGATTTTTTGGACCGAAAACGGCGTATAAGAGTGTACATTAGTACTAGTGATGAGGAGAACGAAAGTGAGTTCTAAATACTTTCGTAGTTACTGGCTATAAATGTTAAAGTCAAACATAAAAAGAGACATAACTGTTAAGTCTCAAATTGCATGTAATAGCTATAACTGTTAAAGCTATTTTTTGTCAACAGGGGGCGTAACAAGTAAGTAATTATATATTTTTAGAGATAGAAGAGGTAGTAGATTTACTTTGGTTAATTTACTAGCTTGGGTTAATCCACCCTGTGGATATAATTATATACACGTGGGTCACATTAACATGATCTGTATTTCCGGCTGGAATTGGAAAATGGTGAGACAAGTATTATGATTCTGTCTAATATTTACTAGCTTGGGTTAATCCACCTTGTGGATGTAAACATATGCTCATATACACATTGTAACCCAGCATAGTCCTTCACTTATGCACGCTAGTATGTCTCAGAAAACTATTAAAATGATCTAGATATCGGATCCTTTATTCTGTGGCTGTATTTGAAAAATCTGCTTTGCAGTTTTGATTTAATAAAAGCTTGTATTCAAACAGGTAACTATATATTATGTTATACCCGGCCACAAAACACCGAACGGAGTGCTTTTCTACAGCGGCAAGGTGACGCAACATTGTTGTTTGTTTACCATTTTCTAGAGTGTTTTTTGCTCACTTTTGATAAAATAATGAACTTTATTTTTTTAGACAGGTCAAAACGAATCTGAATCTGTTTAATAATAAAAACCCCAAAGCTATTTGTTTACAAAAATGAGTAGGTAACTAAAATGCAAAGTAATAAAGACCGCTATCGATTCTTAAACCAAGGCTTAAACTAAACATCTTGCTATGGGGACGGGGAACTGCTGAAGTTACACAAATGACCTTAAGCCCTTGTTTATATATCTTATACACAAGGCTTAGGCTGAATTTATAAAATATTTTATTAAAAAATATTTTAAACGCTTTCCAAAAATGTTTTTTTTTGTCTTTTATTAAAGGTACAGATTCAGGTAGTGAGTTTATATTAAGATTTGTCTTAGAATTACATGTTATATAATTACATTACAAAGTAAGAGATCTTTTGGTTGCAATCTATGGTTGCAATATAGCATAAATTGGTTAAAAAATTGTATTTACATTATTATGGCTTACAATAAACTTATATTTATTTAATTCCAATCGTCCTCGGAATCAAATCTAGAAAAAAATCAATTAATTCAAATTCGAGAGAGATAAAGATCTGTGTAGGAGTAGGACCTAAAATGTGTGACACACTTAAAATTAGGTGGATGCTTATCTTTCTTAAAATTACTAACAGAAACGAAAGACAGTCTAAAATATTTTTTCCATCCCCAGCAATTGCAGTATATTTTAAGGACCGAGGTTAAATCCGGAGGTCCAAATCATGTTTTCTTCAACAGAAAATAAGAAATATATTTTTTGATAGACCTACAGCACGTTTTTAGGTAAAACAATGTCACCACTAGACCAAACAATTACAAGGTTAGTGGAACTTCCCAAAGAAAATAACCAAGGTTGGAGTTGCCCTTAAAATCTGATAGATTTAGGGAAATCGTTATGTTAGGAGAATCCTACTTTACGAACCATTGGAAGGTTTTCTTTTTTTATTAAATTCACACTTGAATAGCAAAATTAAAAGCGTGGCGATTGGCCAAATAAGCGATGATTTGCTTTTTAGTAAAGTTTTAGTGAAAAATGCAAAGAAGCCAAGAATCTTGAAAATACTAGCAGGCTCATCTCAGAAATCAAAACACTTAAAAATGAGTGCTTTGAGATCCAGGTGAAGGTCCACAGACAGAATAATGAGAAGATAAGAAGGGGAAAATTCCTAGAAGATTCATTTTAAAAAGAACGAGGGGGGAACAAGAATTCCAAAGAAGGCAGAATGTGTTGAAGGAGACAATAATTCAGGTTAGAACTCAAAACAAATATGCTGGTATAATTGACTATTTACAGCCAATGGTTGAAAATAACACATAACGAACTTGTTTTAAGTTATTTAAAAGGTTATTATAAATATGGTTGCGATTACGATACCTTTTAGGTCCTAAACTAGTAGACCTAAACCTAAAATTTTAGACTAACCTAAACAATATAGTTATCCAGAAACTCTCATTGCAGAAAACTGGAATTTAAATTATACTTTTAAAATATAAATAATAATAATAATAATAGAAAAAAAATGGGAATTTTAAGCTCTTCTTGGAATTTGCACTATGCATATGTTTTTCAACCCCCTAAACACCGGTAATTAACAACTGTTTAAGGGAAAACGTTTTTTGTTTGTGACTAAACTATCTTGACGATGTTCTTTTATTAGACAAACATTTAGCGGAATGTACTGGAAATATAAATTAAATAAAAAAAATATAAGTAAATAAATAAATTAAAAAAGAGTATCTTCACGTCTACTCAAGAAATTTCATACTTAGATTTTATCTTAAATACAAAATTAATGAAAATGTATCCTACAGACACAAAGAAATGTAAGATTAAAAAGTTAGTGCTGAAATTTTCCAGAAAATATAGACAGTATGTATCCATACTAACTATAAGATGGTTTGTTCGCAACTTACAAGCACTTTAATTTCTTTTTGTCCCGCAGATAAATACAGCTGTTTTATAGATACTAAGAGATTTGAATGAGCTAAATACAAAGCCCTTAAGGAAAATAATGAAAATTATAATGCGGTTCTTTGTGCCAACAAGTTTTTTTTTCTGAAGTTTACGGCTGGTGGCTCAGAAACACAGAATATGCAGGTCAAAATTTCATACCTCCTAAATATACTCTTACTTACTAGGTTATTGATGCATCAGAATCGGGTTAGGGTACCTATTGTAATTATTTAAACGCTAGAGGTTTTTGAGACCAAGAATATCATATACTAATAGAATGGGAGGTGTAAAATATTTGCACCTTAATTTTATCACTACTAAAATCTGGAAATGGTGGATTGTCCTTGACTTGTCCTTGAATTTATAAAAAGATGGTGTCCACTCAGATTTTTCATTAGAATTGCTCAAAAAAGCTTGCTACTCTCCTAATTCTTGCAACTGGACAGAGAATTCAGACACTAAAAAATATAGCTAAAGTAGACGACTCTTCTATTAAGATTTATGTTTGCCAGCACTTTAGAAGCTTACCTAAAAAGAACTGAATCATTAAGAGGGGAAGAGAATTATCTTTTTCTTACTCATAAAAAACCCAACAAAACCACAAAGTGGCAAGTTCCCAGTCTATAAGTCGCTGGATAAAGGAGGTGTTAAACGAAAGTGGAATCAACACAAAACTGTTTAGTACTCATAGTATTACATACGCGACGTCTTCAGCGGCCTACAGAAAGGGATTTAATATAGATCAAATAAAGAATACCATAGTGTGGACATCAACATCAAAAGTATTTCAAAAAATTAATCGTCCACTGAATAAAGGAAAAAAAAATAACTTTATAAAAACAGGCAGGAAGTAAGTATAGTCATTATAAACTGCTCTAGTAAGTTGCTCTTTATTCTGTTAATGTAATAAATAGGTACTATAATGTTAATGTAAATACTTATATTCTTATTCAAATTCAAATAGTTTATTTACCTTTTTTTATATATTAATATACAAATTAAACAAAACACAAAATTAGGTAAAAGGGACTGTGTTGCGATTATAAAAAAAAAACGATACACAAAAACATTAAATGTTTTTGTGTTATACTAATACCCCGCTGGCAAGCGAACCTTTAGGTCGGCGTTTACATGTATAGGAGTGAGTCGTTATGGCAATCTAGTAAGTCGGAGTGAGCAAAAATAGGAAGTATTTATTACATAACTACTTAATCTGACGCTAGATTCCATGCGCTTGGGAAAATACTCGCCTTTCAGTATATCTTATTTTACTAAGCGTGTTGACGGTACTCTTCGTACACATGAAAACCGGCGCCCAAGACCAAAAATGCCGACCCTTAGTATAATATGTATGTGTTATACTACTACTATGTGTTTGGTTTGGTTTTACTAATTTAGAATCATAATTATGTGATGCATATTATATTACATTAATTTTTTGTTGCTATTTTGTTATATATTATAATAACATGTATGTAGAAGTAGATTATATATATTTTTGTTTTGTGGGTTTGACATATTATATTTAAATATACGTTTATAGTTATGTTATACGATTATGTATATTTTACATCACCTGTTTTAAAAAAAATAGCAAAATATAAACTGTCACAAAAGAATTTCTTTTCTTTCAACATCTACGGGTGTATATCTATTTGGACGAGGATACGAAATATAATTATAAGAACAAACGACTTACCTGTAGGAAGTTCGTTCTGAATTATATGAGTATCCTCGTCCAAATAGATAGGTCCCGACCCTACCAATACTAGCCCTCCCAAGAAATTCTTTTTTTGATTTGAAAGCAAAATAATGTTATGAGAAGGCTGACGGTCGGGTACGGATGACTAAGGCTTATGGCTAACAAAAAATGCATTCTTTACGTAATTGTGAATAAAATGTGCTCGATAAAGTATGATAATGATACTACGGGTGTATATCTATTTGGACGAGGATACTCATATAATTCAGAACGAACTTCCTACAGGTAAGTCGTTTGTTCTTATAATTATACATTAAATAATATGTTTAAGCTCTGTTAAGTAATTTCTCGGTTTGAGTATTGGATTTAATAATTTGTTGCGGTACCCTCGAAACAATTTTGGGTGTTTTTTTATTCGATTTCTTTTTGTTTCTTTCTTCGGAACATAAATATAGGCCTCCGCTGGTTGCAAAATAATTCGTGATTTCGGACAATTTTTTCCCGTGCGTTTCGGGCAAAAATATGAATGTATATATCGAAGCCATGACTGAGACGACTGCGAAGAACCTGGAATAAAAGGAAAATAACTATTATAAAACAAAAAGATCTTATTTTAGACAGAGTACTTGGGAGAATCGAGTTTTACATAAAACAATGGATGAAATTCGTTTACAAATATATTTCAAAGTTTTGCATCGTCCTACAACTTAATTTCACCAACGTTGTAATAGATTAGATTGAAAAAAAAATATTGTTATTGCTATCTTTGACAACAATGAAAGGTTCAAAACGCTACGTATGCTGTGTGTGAAATTACCAATCCGTTCTCGTAGTAGTTATAATATTAAATGAATATTTAATTCAACCTAAAAGATCTATTATGGGTATTTCGCCACTGTACTGCAAGAAAATCTACAAAATAAAATAGTTAATTTTTGTAAACACTTCTGCGTTAAACCTAAATAGACACTGCTTGTCCCAAGTTATGTTTACAGTTATACAAATTTGCCTAACAAAGAAAAAAATGCTTAACGTTTCGGAAAGTTTATCTCTTTCCGTCGTCGGAAGCAAAAAAAATACAAAGAATAAAGAAAAAAACTATTTAAAATATTTAAATTCAACTATTCGAGAACACTTTACTTTTTTAAAACAGATACTTCTACAAGAAACCGTTGACGTTCTGTTAAAATGACATTATATCAAGTTAAACTTCAAAATTAATAATTACTATCTGATCACAATTACTTAATAAGGTAAAACCAAAAAGCCCCAAACTTTCTGTATGATTATTTTTAAATTTTACGTATGTTATGTTTATTTATGTTATGTTCTTTAAAATCAAAGAAGCGATTGCCATACATTACTAACATCTACAGATGCATGAGCAATACATTTATTTTTATTAGATTGAATTAAAAAAGCCTCTTTTATTTTTCTTTTAGAGGCTATCGCTTCTTTCATTATAATTTTGGCGTTATTAAAATTTATTTTGTGCCCTGTGTCCCATGACAAATCTTAGATTTGTGAAAATCTCCCTTTCTTAAATAATCTTTATGTTCTTTAATTCTAACATTTTAGGGTCTAGATGTTTCACAAATGTAAAATTTATCGCATTCGCATGGTAGGTATTTAGTACATTAAAAAAAGTAAAGTGTTCTCGAATAGTTGAATTTAAATATTTTAAATAGTTTTTTTCTTTATTCTTTGTATTTTTTTTGCTTCCGAAACGTTAAGCATTTTTTTCTTTGTTAGGCAAATTATAAAAAACTTAAACTAAAATTATAAATAATTGTAAATATAACTTCTGACAAGCAGTGTCTGTTTAGGTTTAACGCAGAAGTGTTTACAAAAAATAACTATTTTATTTTGTAAATTTTCTTGCAGTGCAGTGGCGAAATACCGATAAAGGTTTTTTTTTGAGAGATGAATCCGCCACATAGTTATAGACATTTTTTACTAAGAGATCTATTGTGTCCTCCTTTCTTGAATTATAATTCATTATACAGCCTCAGGGGTTTGGCAAAAGCCAGTATCTGAGACGGTTTTACAAAGGCTGTAGATGTTGTCTTCTTTGTTCCTAATTGTTCTTATGTATTGGCGGGTTTTGCAACTTGACGCCTCGCCTATATTAACAAAATAAAGTAAAAAAAAATATTACCATTGCAAACCGACAATTCCTCCAAACCAGTCTTGAAGTGTATAAAACATCTGGACCGAAGCAAACATGAGCAAGTTGGCAGCACTGTAAGCTATCGAATGTGCCACTCCACGTATTTCAATAGGAAATAATTCAGCTGTCATAGTCCATGGAATGGGCAGCAAGCCAATCATTGTCGTTATGACATACACAAGAATCAACAGTGTCGGAACCCAAGTATGTGTTGTCGTTCCTAAACAGAATACATTTTATCAAAAATTGATAACTAAATTTAAGCATTTATAATTGAAGATGGGTCCATGGCGTTTTCACACAGATTTAGTTTTTCCAGAAATTTTAGGGATTGATATTAATAAAAAAAGTAGTTTAGTATTATGTTTAAAATATATTTTTTCTGTAGAAAAAATATATCACTTTATGAAATATAATGCCCTTCTTAGTATGCGTACTTAAAGTTAAAATTGCATGATTATTACAAAAACCACTCTGGGAGTAAATGTTCTCTGTGATTCACGTATAATTTTACCGGGTTGGTCTCTCAAAAGTGGCTCACTGCGGTCACATACGGTTCATAACAACAATTCGACTCTAAATACCAAGTGTGTGGTATTAAATTATTCGTAAAGAAATGCTTTTTCCAGATATGCTAATGAGCCACACTCATTCCATTTGAAAAAATTGGGATATGATTAAAAATACGATTTGGGTGCCTTTTAACCGGCCAAGACAAGACACTAAAAATATTATACGATCAAATATATTTTTCCAAGGCTCCTTGGTTAGCAAAATAAAACACTAAATCACCACAATACACCAAACACTTTTACTTTTACACTGGACGCGCGTTTCGCTAACCATGTTAGCATCATCAGCAGATGATTATAAACTAAAGTACAATCTACAAGTTGAGCGTTTATATACTCGGTCAGTGGGTACCGATTGGGCGTGGCAAAATCTAGCCAACCGATGATTCCAAGAGTATGGTTTAGGTATGTGGATGATATTTTTGCTGTTTTTGACACACATTCAGACACCATAGATAATTTTATTTCTAAGTTAAATAATCGTTTTCCTTCCAATAAATTTACGCATGAAATTGAGAACAACGACAGATTACCATTTCTAGATGTATTAGTTATTAGAAATACTAATAATTGCCTGGAATTTGATATCTATAGGAAAAATACCACCACGCGCATATATATTCCTAATGAATCACATCATAGTGTTGAACATATAAGGGCTAGTTTAAATTTCTTAGTTCATAGATTACTTAGTTTCCCACTTTCCAACGAAATATATGAAATAGAAAGAGATTACGTTAGGAATGTAGCTGAGTGTAATGAATATTCTCCTTCACTAGTTGATAAATTAATTAGAAAACGTAGGTATAGGTTAATGATTTCTGAAATTTCGACTTTTCAAGTGGAGAAAGATACTAAATATTTTTCAATACCGTTTGAGAGAGAGTTATCCCGTGGTCTAAAAGGAATTTTTAAGATTGTCAATTATAAACTTGTGTATAGTGCTAATAATAAATTACAGCAATTATTAGGTAATCCAAAGGATAAAACACCTCCACTGGAAAGGTGAGGTATTTATGAAATTTCTTGTAAAGATTGTAATCAGAAATATGTTGGGCAAACTAGAAGATCAATACTAACTAGATTTAAAGAACATTTAGCCCAGATAAGATATGGTAGACCGGATAAATCTTGCGTTGCCGAACATATTGTTGATAAAGAACATTGTATAGATCTTAATAATTTAAAATTAATTAAACAATTCTCAAATTACAGGCAATTAGATGCATATGAAAGCATCAGAATTAATAAATGTAAAGATAGTATGAACAGAGAAAACGGTCCAATTCCTTCAAGTTATTTGTTCCTACTACTCTAGTGGCGGAAATCTAACTGTTACGCTCAGTGGGCTCTGACTCGGTTGGCTAGGTTTTGCCACGCCCACTCGGTGCCCACTGAGCGAGTATATAAACGCTCAACTTGTAGATTGTACTTTAGTTTATAATCATCTGCTGATGATGCTAACATGGTTAGCGAAACGCGCGTCCAGTGTAAAAGTAAAAGTGTTTTGGTGTATTGTGGTGATTTAGTGTTTTATTTTGCTGTGTAACACCAAAGGTTCCAACCCTCAACTGTAAGCTACTTGGTTAAAAATTAGTGTTTTTAACACAGCCATGGCACTCTAGATTGAAATTTAAAATTCAATTTGTTTTTGAGCGAATGTCATTTTCTAGCGAATAAAGTAGAAATATACCGAGAGTGCCATTTAAAAATCAAATTTTGTAGTCATTTCCGGTGAAAGAGGAAGTGACCGAAAACAATTGAATACCTCAATCAATCCTAATTTATGTCATATACTATCGTACCAAATCTCCTTTTTTTATTAATAAAAAGTTATAGGTGTGAGCCACTTTTGAGACGCACCCGGTATAAGTCAGTTTAATAAAAAATATTTTTAATTTTCAAAATTTGATAATTTTAACTATGATAGTTGGGAGGATATAATTTTTTCTTTATTATTTCTTTTTTCTATTCAGTTGAAAATATGTATAAATAAATACCTTCATGAATCCATTTTGTAAAGAATCCAGAAGTGACCATACATATTGCCATACTAACTCCCGAAACCACTATAAGAGGTCGCCTGTGGAAAGTCTTTAACATATACGTATTTATACATGACATGAGAAATCTGATTGTGCCTATAAGTACCGATGCCAAATAACCATCCATGGCAGAACCAGTTTCCTAAAAGTAGGTAGTATTAATATAAAAATACCCTGTATGTTATAGTTAAACGCTTGTATAATAATATACAGGCTGTCCCAATATTCCGTGGACATAGAACTACTATGTATTTTTCGAATCAAAATAAGTTCATTGGACACAATTTACCTCTATACAAAAGTGCTTCGATTATCCGCTAGAGGGCATCAAACTTTAAAAAAATAAACACCTTTTTAATATATTTTAAGAACAGTTATTCTGATTTGAATGATATTTTGGGTGACTCTATTTTGCTAAGTGATTTAACATTTGAGTTTCACAAAAAAACAAGAAAAAGTACGGGAATTTGATTTTTGTGAAACTCAAATGTTAAAGTATTTAGCAAAACATAGTCATACAGAATCTCATTCAAATCGGAATAGCGGTTCTTAATCTAATATACAGGGTGTCCCAGAAGCAGTGCAAGTATTAACTGGTAGTATAGTTCAACCCCAGAAACAAGCTATGAGGTTTTTTACGCGAAAAAAAAAATTGAAAATTCACAATTTTTTAAAAAAATTTTTGGATTTTAGTTAAAAACATAATTTCTTGATAATATGGCAACATAGGTATAAGATTAAATTTACAAGAAAGGAAATCCAGAAAAGATCCAGTGGTTAGATTATAATTTGGTTAGGAGAATTTTTTTTTTGGAAATTTTCAAAGTAAATTAACTCCGTTATTTTGGACTTATTTGAAAAACGATAAAGAGAAAATATGTTTCTTTTATCGAGATCTACCACCCTTTAAAATACTTGCACTTATTTCTGTGACACCCTGTATATAAAAATCTAGTTCTATATCAACGGAATATTGGGACACCCTGTATAAACGAGAGTAAAAGTAAATATATCTGTAACAAATCATAATAATTTTGTAATTATTTTCCCGGAATTAGCGGCACCCATGAAATAACATTAATGTTATTTCGTAGATGCCGGCATCAGTCGCTAGGTTTAAAACCACATGGTTGGTCGCGCGGAAGCATTTTGCTCACAATCGTTAAGATGAGTTTTGTTGATGATGTTAAGATGATGTAAATAATAACTGTATATATAATTAATATATTTTTGTTACCTAAAATATAGTGATTAAAAGAAAATATGTAAAAGTGGGCAATGTGAGCTGTAGCGACCAATCCCGTGTTGATTATTAAATTTTCTCTCTTCTATAAGAAAGAGATTAATGAATCGGAGTTATGGATACTCTTCGGAGAAAAATCAATGTCTCGATGATCTTCATCTCACTTAAGCATCTTTAAGTTCATCAAATCACTCAATTAATGCGTCTTGAAAATTAGCGTCCCTGTGCGGCACACTTTTTAGACTACCCACCATCCTAATAGATAATCAAACATTCTTGGCGTGGTGGTGCCACACATACCCCACTGAAACTTTAGCCTCCGCTGGTAGGAACAATACTTGATAAAATCAAGTGCGCCTTTAACAGTTGCATATTGGTACCCCAACTTAAAGGTAAATGGCGCGGCAAAGCCTAATTCTTAAACGTAAACATTTTACAGAGGTTTAAATAGTGCTTGGGGTCCGCTGGCGTAGTGAGGTTCAGCGAATCCCAAGCACTATTTGCGCCGTGATTTTTCTCCGAAGAGCATAACTCCGATTCTGAATCTCTTTCTTATAGAAAAGAGAAAATTGAATAATCAATACCAGAAAATAAAGAGATGTGGTATATGGTAACCATATGTCAATGAAGAAATGACAAAAAACAAAAATCTCATGAATCAAATGTGAACGATCCATGTGCGGCAAATGCAGATTCTATATTAGCATGAACTGTATTTAAAAAAGTTATGTACATCCAAGGTTTGCAGTTTTGTTGAAAATAATTTATGTTTAGTACTTTAGTTTCACATTTCAGTTGCTTGTACTTTTAATAATACGGAGAAATCATAAAATATATATGTTTTTAATTTCTATGGGTTTCTTAGCCAAGTTATATTTCTGTCGTCAAAAATTCCGAAAAAATGCGTTTTACTTTATTTTCGTGCCCGTTCTTATTAATTTGTTGAAAATTAATAAAATTGTTTGTTCAGAAGTTTCAATATATTGTAAACAGTGTTAAAATAGCAAGCTGTCTTCATCATGTATTTTTAACTGAAAAAAATTGGGGTCCGTAGCACGCCATAAGCGTTCCAAAAATTCACCATGCGAGCCAGTTGAGTGTTAAACAATCTCAATCAACTCATTAACAAATTCCTATTAAGATTTAAATAAAAATTAACAAAGATTTAGGTAAACTAATTAAGATCTATGTCAAAACTAATACTTACTTTGAAAAATGTAATGGAATAGAATAACATAATATAGATTCCAGAAAACTGTTGGAAGAAAAATAGAGCAAACAATAGTAAAAGTGGCTTATATCCCGTTGGTTTTAAAAACAGCTTGCACTTTTGTATAAACCCGGTTCCTTTTCTACTTTCTTCCTCCATTTTTAATTGATGCTCTTTCTGGAGCAACTGTAAGTGTAGCTCTGCTAAACTTTCAGGCTAAAATTTATTAAATTGATAAATTCTGTTTAGCTATATAAATTATTTTTATTACTCTTTGATCAGGATGCGGTTGATTCTTGTTAATCCAATTTAAACTCTTTGCTGCTTCTTCGACTCTTCCTTTGGCTACTAACCATGGCGGACTTTCCTTTATGAAAAATTGGATTAAAATAATTGGCAAAATCGAATAAATTAAACATAGCCAAGCGACTGTTCTCCAACTTAAAAAGTAACCTTTTAAGAAAGCAACCATCATTCCTATAAAAATTAGAAATAAGTTTAGAGGTAATGTTTATAATATACAGGGTGGGTCCGAACTGTATTCCGGCCACTTCGGCAGCATATTCTGCTAATAAAAATAAGTAAAAAAGTTCGTATAAATGTATGTCCTAAAGTGCTTACTTTCAGAGATACAGGGTGAAGAAGTTTTATTTTTATTTCGATTTTTTGTAAATAATTTCTGAAGTAACGTCAATATTTGGATCAAAATTGGTGTCTGGGAGTTTTTTGACCTGAGAAATTTTATTTTGGTGTCAATATGACTCCTAACTAGTAGAGGGCGCTACCTACATGTGTTTTAATTGTTTTGAAGCATAATAATTTAACTAAAGAACTAAATAAAAAAATATACGTTTGCGACGTTTTTTACGTAAAAAAGGTCTCTTGATAAAAATCGCTACGAGTAATGGTTCTCGAGATATTTCGAATCGAAATTATCAATACCTGTCAATCATTGACATAAATTAAACATGTTAACTAAAAAAAAGTTAGGAAAAAAAATAAACATAAAAAAAATTGAAAAAAAATTATAAAAAAATAATTAAACAATAATTATAAATTTGAAATGTTTTTGTGCCAAAAATTCAACAAAAACTGTTTTGTCATCATTATTTTGCCAAAAAAATTATGATTAATTTAAAAAAAAAATCCCAAATTTACTATTTTATTCAAAAAAATGATTATCTTACTCAACGTGTTTTATTTTTTGTCAATAATGACATGTATTGACTATTTATTACGTAAACATTTTTTACGTAAAAATTCACAGAAATGTATATTTCTTCACGCAGTAGTTTTATACAGGTACGGACGAAAAGTTATTACTCTTCAAAACAGTTAAAACACATGTAGGTGACGCCCCCTACAAATAAGAGTCATATTGACATCAAAATCAAATTTCTCATGTCAAAAAACTCCCAGATATCAATTTTCACCCAAATATTGATGTTTACTTGCAAAATATCGAAATAAAAATATATCTTCTACACCCCGTATCTCCGAAACTAAGCATTTTAGAACATACTTTTATACGAACTTTTTTACTTATTTTTATCTGCAGAATATGCTGCCGAAGTTTCCGGAATACAGTTCGGACCACCCTGTATAGTCTGTCAAGGGAGAAAATATAGAATTTCTACAGATATTGAGAAAGAAATGAATGTAGAAGAAAAATGAAAGCGAAGGAAAAATGAATCTGCGTTTAACTTAAAAATACATACAACGTCATATATACAGTGATGCAGATAAAGTTCGCATCGTATTGAGCTTTTTGTTATTTATTGACTTAAGTGTAAAAATGACATAAGAAATTTTAGCATGTTCCTTTTGGGTTTCTGTCAAATTTATAAAGAAGTAATAAATGTCAAAAAATAGCTTTCCTGGCTGAATTTCAAAACAATTTGTCGGCAGAAGTGTTTCTTTTTTAACTCTACAGTATGTCTCCGGATTGTCTTTGAAGAGGAAAAACTTTTTATTATTGACATTTTGAGAAAAATGAATTCTTCATAAAAAATGTTGTTTGTTCTAAAACGGTTAATCCCGTTTATATTTTTAGATATTTCCATACCGTTTTAGAGAAAATTAAGAAAAACATAAAAATATAGTTAAATTTTTCCTAGAGTCCTAAAAATCAAAAAGCTATGGTAATATAATTTCGTTTTCATCTTTTTCTTTTTGATAGATTGTTATCGATAGAATTTTAATTAACGTCATATTTTTGCTGTTTTAAAATGTTAAAAAGCATGACATTTATTTAGTTTAATGCTACGGAAACTACATTTTACGCCGGTACGTCCTGGGACCAATTAGGGACCGTACTATGTAAGTACAAAAGTGTACGTACATAGTACGTGCCCCATGTACGTACTCTTTACGTACATTGTAGGACTTCACTACGGACGAACATGCGAGTACAGTTATGTATCCAGCCTTCATTGTTCAATAATGCTGATGCAAGATACCCTTTAATTATAAATAGCGAAGACAGGACTTCGAACGACGGATTGATCTATCGACAGCAGTGCAGAACGAATCTCTGCCCGTCACCATATCAATTTTTTCTATTGTTAATTAAATAAGTTAAAAATAAATAAATCTTTGGTTTTCTGAGTTAGAATTATTTTTTAAAAATCAATTTTTAATATTGGAAAACATAAAGTGGCGCAGTCATCAGTAGGATTGGAAAAGAGAAATTTTTGAGAAAAAATCATCTCTTTGCTATCAAGCATTAATTCCAAGAAAAGAACTTCGTGCATCGTGCAAGAAGAGGAACCGCTGAGAGAAAATAGAGACAGACTACGGCACTTCTAGGACCAACGAAGTGGGTCACTCTATTCGCTGTATCTCCCGGTCAACGTCAGAAAAAAAGAAAAAAGAAGCTATGGTGAGAAGACTACTCATGTAAGTACTTCCTGTCCATGTCAATTCCCTCGTTATCACCTAATTCCTTGGCGGAAAGTAGCGAAAATAGCGAGTTAAATTTAAGCGAATTAGATTTAAGACAAGAAAACGTAACTAGAAACGCGGATTTAGATTTAACAGATTTATTATCTAGCTTATCAATTAATTCTCCTAAGTTAAGTTCTAAAGATAAGTTTAATTTTAATTTAGAAAAACCAGAAAGCTTAAACATGTCAGCACCACCGCATTTTGATGCAAAAATTTTAGAAATTGTACCTAAATTCGATGGTAATCCATTAGAACTATCATCTTACTTAGAGACAGCTAATACTTTAATTTCAAATTTTTGGGATACTAGACCAGATCATGTAAATTGTGTTCAAAATGTGACTATTATTTATGGCATATATTCAAAATTAATTGGCAAGGCTAGAGAGGTTTATAGTATTTCTATAAATAAAGATTGGCAAAGCATTAAAACTTCTTTAATTGCTCATTTTGGAGACCAACGTGATGAAAATGGCTTGCTTTTTGATTTAGACCAATTAAGACAAACAAATCATGAAACACCACTACAATTCCACACTCGTGTCATGTCTAATTTAAGTGCTTTACATAATTATATCGACACACACGAAACTATTGAAGCAACAAAACAATTAAAAAAACAATTTTACAACACCCATGCATTGAAAATATTTTTAGCAGGTTTAAAAGAACCATTAGGATCTAGCATTAGGGCTATGAGACCAGAATGTTTGGCTTCAGCACGACAATTCATAATTTCGGAAAATAACATAAGACATTTACAAAAACCACACATACCACAAGTCACACCAAAATTTAATGTTCCAACATTCACACAATATTTTCCAAACCAACCCTTCCAAAATCAACAATTTAATCAATTTAATCAACCTTTTAGACAGAACTTTCCAAGTAATTTCTCAAGACAAACCAAACCTGTCTTTCCTTCTCAACCTATTGATATAAGACCGAGGCAGTTACCACCGCCCAAATTTTTCACAAACAAACAAGTTTTTGGGACTAATAAAAATACCAATGTCTTTAAACCTAGAAATATCCCTCAAAATCAATTTCCAAAACCTACACCGATGAGCGGAATATCTCACGGAACTTTTCCAAAACCCCCCGTAAATCAACAAAGATATTTTAATCCACCTCATTTTGTTTTCGAGGAATTGCACAACGTAGAACAAAATAACAATGAGCCTTATATTTCAAACAATGAGTTCGAAGGTTATCAATATTCCTATCCCGAACAACAGTACTACTCAGAGTCGGAATATGCTGATACACACACTATAAATGAAACTCAAACATATGATGACACAAACCAACCACATACATCATCATACAATGAACAAAATTTTCCCGACATCAACGAAAAAAACCAGAACACGTAGAAATTCACTCGATATACGATAAAAAAGATTTACCATATATTCAAATTAAAAATCCTCCTTTAAAATTATTAATTGATACCGGTGCAACTAAATCTTTTATAAATCCAGAAAAGGCTGAAAAATACTTTTATAATTCAATAAAAAAGGAACCATTTACTATATCATCAATTTTCCAAACAACAACTAGGAATCACTGTATAGAAATTCCAGCTTTTGATGAATTTAGATCAAAACAAAAAATGAAATTCTATCTTTTTAAATTTCATCACTTTTTTGACGGCTTAATAGGTTACGAAACATTAAAAGATTTAAAAGTTCAATTAGATTTGAATAACTATAAATTAAAAACACCTTTTAGTGAAATTCCTTTATCTCACTACGAAGCAAAAAATAAACTTTTATTTTTCGCTCGAATTGAATCAAAATCTATCGAACAATTAAATATTCCTGTTTCAATTTCTAATGGTCAAATAAGTTTAGAAAATACAAATATTTATAATTGTTTTATCCCAGCCTGTATAACAGTTTCTAAAAATAATTATGCACCAGTAGAAATTCATAACAACACCGACGATATTCAAGAAATATGCTTATATAGTCCAATAAAAGTTAATAGCTTAGATTTAAATAATTTCGAATTATATAATTTTTCTATTAATAGTCCTTATTCAGATGGTCATACTGATATAAGTTCACTTATTAGAACTGATCATATGAATAGAGAGGAACAAAGCAAACTTTTAAAATTATGTTATTCATATTCAGATATTTTTCATAAACCAAATATACCCTTAACATTTACTAATACTATAAAACACCAAATTAAGATGAAAGACGAAATTCCTATATACACAAAATCGTATCGCTATCCATTTATACACAAAGAAGAAGTCCAACGACAAATCGAAGATATGTTGAATCAGAATATAATTAGACCAAGCGATTCACCATGGTCGTCCCCGATATGGATCGTTCCGAAGAAAGCAGATGCTTCGAATAGGAAAAAATGGCGTCTAGTTATCGATTTTCGAAAATTAAACGAAAAAACAATCGACGACAGATACCCTATTCCGAACGTATCAGATATTCTAGATAAACTTGGTCGCTGTCAATATTTTTCGACACTAGATCTTGCAAGTGGATTTTACCAAA